CAAACTGGTTTTTAGAAGCGTTGTTGAAAGTTCTTTTTGCTCTTCTTCAGAATCACTACTTTCAAAATTTTTGTGTTTTTCTTGGTCCACTAATTCCTTGAGCTCATCATTACAAAGACCTGCTGCTGTTTCTTGCACTATTTCTTCTACTATCTTCCCCATTTACCTCATCTAAACCGGTTTGTTTCGATAATTCCACTATTTCTTCCACTATTTTATTCATATCGACAGAATGTCCAGTGTCACCGCCCTTGCTTAGATCTGGCCAAATGTTCTTCTATACCCTTTCAAACATTTTTCTGTTAGCTCATAACAAGAAAGGTTTACGTTTTCTATAGCATTCATGATATTGAAGTTTTTCCAAAACTCTCTTATTGATTGTTTCTCTTCACCGTCTGTTTTTTCAAACATCTGTCTAAATGTTCGCCGCACATAATAAGCCTTAAAATTTAATATAATCATTGGCCTTGATCCATTGGTTGGAATAAGGCAGCTATGTTAGGCGGCAGGAAACCCACTTCGACTGGAATGCATGTTATTAAGTCAGATAAATTCGTTGGATGGCTTGGAGCATTATTAATTAAAATTAGTGCTCTTGATTCAAGTTTTTTAATTTCGCAACAGAGTTTAACAAACGGGCAAAAATATTCAGTGAAACCAATTCTGGAAAATTTTCATAGTTATCCATGATTTTTTATTAGCCTCCCAAATTATAGGTAAAGTTGATTTGGATATTCCTTTCTTCGCTGGTGCTTTTGGAATGGTAAGCATGTAGTGGTTTTAATTTGAAATCTCCGCTTGCATTACCACCCAGTAGAAGTGTTAAGCGATCTTTTGCAGCTTTAGACCCTGATTCACGTTTTTCTTCACGTTATAGAAATGTTCGTTTTCGCATTCTTTTCCAAAATAGGCCTGTTTCACCAACATTAAAAACCAATTCCGGAGGATAGTTTCCTCGTTCAATTATTGTTTTTAATATCGATGGGAATTCAACCTCCGCTTTCGTATCACCACTTGCTGCTTCTCCTGTAATCTGTATGTTATGACGATTATTTCGATGATTAAATCTATTAAATCATCCTGGAATTTCAACGAAAGTTTTACTTGTGTCACTTGCCTCAACTTGAATGCAATTAAAAATTCTTCTTGCTTTTTCCATTATAATAGATTGGCTTAATGGCATATTGCGTCCAATTTCGTCGTCAATCCATATAGAAAGTCATTTTTCCATTTTCCTCTATTGTATTATTTCTAGAACGGGTAATTCTAGTTGCAGAGCTTGTCGTAGTTGCAGTTGCCGATGACAGTATTTTTTTTTTATTCTTAAAGAATAGTCCTTATTGTTGAAATTGCCAAATTCAGTGCAGTACCAATTTGATATTGACGTTCACCAGTATTAATCTTCTAATCACTTGCATTTTAGTTTCTAGTGAAATGCTTTTTCTTGTTCCTTTATTTTCGTGTTTTTTTATTAATTTATTAAATCATAATTATAATCATAATCTATATCATTCGTTATATTATATAAATTTATACTTACAATAATGTCAACAAATGTTTGAAACGATAAAAATACCTTCCTATAACACCGCAGGAAAGAAGAAACACAAATAAACTGCTTCGGATATCGGGAAGACTAACGCTGCATGCAATTTCGGAGAATCCCACAATTCAAATAAAAGAGCGTTAAACCAAAACAGCGCTAACGAAATAGCGTTAAGGGGGGGGGTCTTACTGCATATATATATATGTGATGTATCAGCTTTTGTCCGGAATAAATAGATTGGTGAAGAATCATAAATGTAGTCGTAGCTTAAATTATCAGACGATAAGTTTAAAAAACAGGATCCATTTATTATATTTCAGGGGAAATAGCAATTACAAAAATCAAGATCTCCGGAGTAAATAAAAAAGAACTACTAATAACCTTTTATATGAAGCATCGTGACATTTAAGAAAAACCCCGATATTCTTTTACGAGTCCTTTTATAGCCTCTGGAAAGGCGGAGCTTCCAAGAAATGACGTAAGCCTCGTCAGCCAATCCAGTTCGCTTTAAAATTTTCCAGAACATTCTATAACTGTACGTGTAGAAAAGGCGGGAAAAAAACTTGACTACGGGGCTGTGGATTAATTCCACGTACTTTCAAATAAGAGAACGTCGCCATTAAAAATGAAAAGAACATACAGATAGAAATTTAAGCGTATTCTTGACTATGGAATTTTATTATTGCATATATATATATACTACTGCTGCTGCCGATTGCAATAAAAAAGGGAGGTGCACAGCTAAATGTTAAACAGTCCTATATATAAAATTTCAATATTATATAGCTAGTCATTTTTTAGTCTTGGGGAATACATCATATAGACAAAGATGTCATGAAAAGATGACTTTTGAAACCATTTTAAGTGCATTTTACAATCGGTTTTAGAAAGAAAGTCCTTTATTATATGTATAGACGTCAATCAAAAACATTGTCCAAGTGGATTCGAGAACGGTCAAAATTTCCGTTGGAATACGATACCTGAAATTTACGCAGTTACAATAGTTCTTTTACTTCGTACAAGGAGGTAAAAATGGATGCTTCTTACGCTAAATAATAATCCAGATATTAAAGAGAAAAAATATATTTATATACGCTAAGTTACATATATTTCGTTAACATTCGTAAGATATATTTTTGCCAGGTGTAGTAGACTAGTTTCCAGTTCTTACATTCTTACATACACATTTTATTAAATTCTATATCTACTTAAAAATATATATTCTAGGGTATTATGTGCAGAGAAATAATTACACTAAAATTTACGTTATTTAAATGCAGACAATTAAGCTGTAAATTATGTAATTTATATTTTGTCAACAATGGTTATTGATGTTATTTAAAACAGCAGAATAATTATCGAAACATTAATTAATTAAAAAGCATTTTAATTTTATGTATCCTAACCAGAAAACCAATCGGTTTGAATAATTTATTTCCGAATAATTGGAATCCGTATAATTCGAGTTCTACTGTTGTCCGTCATTGCTGAGATCAAACTAATCAAGTAAGTTTCTACGTATGTAAGTAATTACCCATTTTATTGTACTTTGTTCCATTTCTGTCACATTTGCCAAAAATAAGTTAAATATGCGAACCAAAATCCATTAGGATCGTTAAAGTATCAAATTACGAAAGGTGGGCAAGAGCAGGAAATTTTAATTAAGCTACTGCAGGGTAAAAAATTCGATGTTACATTGGTTAACAAAATAAGTAAATGTATAAAACCATGAGTATTTTTTTCATTTAGGAGGAAAGTGAACTTCATGACGAATAATCATTCTTACAGATCTCTCAACCTTATAAATTTAAATTACCTTTTTCGTTCACATCATTACAGGCGAGCATAAAGTCTTCCTTCTTTAAGGTAAAATGTCGAATACTTTCGCACTGGTTTTCATGTATAAGGATAAGCTTAACAGTATTTTTTCGAACAATCTTTCTGCCGCGGTTTCATTTAGGACCTCGTTGATTTTATCTGAAATAGTAGTAGGAATCGCATAGATGAAACTTTTCTGTTTTGGAGCCAAAATTTGCGGTGGAATTTTCAAGGTAAGTAGGTTCGTTGCCAGTAAGATAAATTGTAAACAAAAGGATTATAATTATGAATTAGTAATAATGAAAGGAAAAAGATTAAAAAGTGATACTTTAAATAACTGCAATCTGAAAACTTCAGATTAGAGTCCATTGCTTCGAAAAATTTGCAATTAAAATTTTAAGATTTTAAAATAAATTAAATTAAATTGAATTAAATTCAGAAATTAAGTATAAAAGCTGAAAACCGTAACATAAAATAAAATACAATTTCATTTTGTATGCAGATTATGATTATACACAATATTATGATTATACATATATTAAACAATTTTTATTAAAACTGTTACGATAGGCGACTTAACTTAAAATTGTATCCTCCAGAAATCAAAGATATAGAGCATAAAGTCATGCGTTTAAATTGAACAGTTAAAAGTAGCAGTGCCAAATGGTAGGAAGAGAATTGGCTTTGATATTATGCCATTGTAAATTAACACCACATGGTTTCTGGTGTATTTATTTAACAAATAAAAGACTCAGTTATTCAAGACGTACCTAGTATTTATATCACTGCATCGTCTGAGTACAAGCCTTGTAAAAATATTTCTTTGAACTGGCAGTATCGCTAGGCTGCGAAATTCTCGAACTGAAAAAAAAAAAAAAAAAAAAAAAAAATAATAATAATAATAACACCTCGAATAGATTTCCATCGAGGGTAGTCCTTCCTTTAATAAGAATTTTAAATATTATTATAATTGCTCTTACATGAATTTCTTATTATGCAATGTGTATTATGTTTAAAAATTATGTACAGAAAATAAGGTAAGTTGTATAATCGTGTTTAATACATTTTTCGTGGTGGACGGGGGGTCACCGGTAATCCCTGAGGCGCTGTAGACCATATTTGGAATCTATTATCCTTCAAACCATTATAGTAACAATGGTTTTATTTAAAAATTTATCAGTAATGATATTTACTCTAATTATGTAATTTTACGATTGGTCTCGTCGCCGGGCACCGGTGCCCTCCCACGGCGCTGTAGCCAAGTCGAGTACCGGCCACCGGTGACCCCCCCCCCTCCACAGTAGTTAACATGTTAAGTTTACTCAGTTGAGCATTGAGCATCATGAGATATAACATAATAAAATGGTTTTAACTTGTTGCCGGGGGGGAGTCGGATGTGTTCCCCGAAGCAGTTCATTACGGCCAGTGAATACATTCCTTTTATGTACCTGTTCAAAAGATCTTAGTTAATTGAATCCAAGTTTGCATTATTTTCAATAACCTTAAAAAACGAATGTGAGAAGCATGCTAGAAGATCTGTAAATGGAGTTAATTAATTTATAATGGCATGTAAATCATATTCAAAGACTCGAGGATACAGATTTTATTAATTTATATTCCACTTGTCAAAAAATAAATGAGTTTCGAATCGCTTTGATTGGGAATACTATTATTATTTGAACAGCTTTTCTTCACTGGAAATTTTAGTAAGAGAAGAATCCGATATACCGAAGAGTATCCACAATCCACCATGAAGATCATTTCTATTAATTTCTGTAGAATCGAAAAACCGTCAAATGCCAACTACTAAAAAATAAAGAAATTTATAATTATTTTCATATAAACATATGCATTTTTATTTATACTCCGATAAAAATTTAATGGATAAGTGAAATAGATTTGGTTTTCATTATTTTTTATCAATTTATGTCCCTCTTGAAAATTTTTTTCTGAAAACTTAAAAATTTCTTTATTCATAATTTCTTTATTCTTAGTTTAATTTAAAGTAAGTTGTTTAGTTATTAATAAAACATGTCATAATTATTAAATATAAATACCAGCTTGGAATATTTAATATTTGGCTATCAGTATACTATATGAGTCACACCGAAGTGTGACGGACAAAAGTATTCCGAAATTTAAACTTCAGATAGAAAATAAATATAAATTTGAATTTTTTTCTTTGAGATAGCATTATTATTATTATTTATGTATATATTGCCAAATATTTAGTAAACTAAATTCAGATTTATTAAAATATTTTAAATCTGTTAACAAAAAATGTTTATTAGGTAAAAAAAAAGAAAACTTGCCCCTTCAACACTTTTTAGATTGACTTTTGACCCCATATATTTTGAGTCCGAGAGTACTGATAAGCCTTTTATGAATAGATATAGGTCGTACGTCAAAATATGTAGTAGTGTTTCACGTTTCATGACCCATATTACGTGATTAGACCCATATTGAAGAAGATTTTGATTGCATAGTATGCTAGTAATGCTAACTTGGTAATATCTATAGAACTTGGCAGTCGAGGCAGTTTTAATTCCATTTTTATTTGCAACTGATATTTGTGGCCACAATCACTTGGCACTCTAGTCATGCCTTTCCACAGAAGATTTACATTTTTGATATTGTTGAGATAGAAAGCAAGCCAGCAAAATTACATCTTAGCACGGTAGAGAGCAAAAGCTGAAGTGCGTAGTTATGAAGGATGGAAGCACGGCGAAGAGAAAAGTTTCGGTTTACAAAGGCAGTTTCAGTTCCCAATTATTACGTCATCAGAGCTGCGCGGACCGTAGAGTGATCTAGAAATGACGCAATGCAGAGAAGTTATTACGATTTTAGAATAAGGAGGAAGAATTAATGTTTATAGTTATACTATAATTCTGATTCATATAATTTTATCTTACATATTCCCCCCCCCTTCAAAAAGAAAACGGCGTAGCGACGGAGAAGTCTTTGTAAAGAGAAAGAGTTAAAGCACTAGCAAATGTAAAAAAAAAAAAAAAAAAAAAAAAAAAAAAAAAAAAAAACAAGTCATAAAATTTTTGTCCTGTAAAGTATAATTTAAAAATATCAGTTTTTTTTAAATAAATTTTTTATTTTTAGAGTCCTATTGAATTTTTCAGCATTTCAGTCCAAAAGTCTTTTTGTTTGAGAGTTCACATAATCATAATTCTTCAGGGAAGGTTCTTGTTATCGCAGAATATCACAAAATAAACTTTTGCATAATCATTACTTATAATTAAATGCACATACATATTTATGATACTTATTTCCATACTAATAAATTATAATTTAACATCATAAATAATAGGATTAAGATTTTCAGAATTTATGGTTTCTCCGTTATCATCTTTCATTTACAATTCCTGATTTTACCAAACTGGAAGCCTCGCAATACTTCTAAACAAACATATCCATCAATAGGATTGTCCTCTTGAGGTAACCAGTGTGTTCTCTGCACTGGTGGCCAGGGTGCCTAGGCAGTTTACTTGAAAAGGCCTCCGTTCCTTGCATAAGGTAACTGGCCTTTGCACTACTACATTCCATAATAAATAATAATAATAATAATAATATAAAAAAGTCCACACACTCATAAAATGAGAGCTTCCAATATTATCTTGCATGAAGAGGGTAAAAGGGACAACTGTACAGAGAATTACAGGCCTCTGTTGAAGGAACCAGTACACCCTCATCATACTATACTTAACACACAATAACCGATAAATTTTCGCATGCATTTACCATAACTTCATATTACTTATCTGTACTAATTTCACTTATTTTTAACATCTACTTTATTTTTAGAATAATTATAAAATTCGTATTCAAAATTCTCAACAAAATTTCAAAAAATAAAAACTTATCTTAATATCCTTCCCTGTTAATAATTTAAATAGCTTAAAATTCGTTACTTAATTTGCTCACACATAATTATGAAAAATTAGAAAAATTAATGAACAAGAATTTCAGATTTTGTCAAAACAAATTGCAGAAATTTTAACCAAAGTTGAAATGAAAACTATAGAATCCGCAGCACATTAAATAATTTAGTTCCCGAGCTAGATTCACACGAATGTAATAATTTTTGAGCTGTTGAAAAAGTGGAAGTGCAAATAATTTTCTGTCGCACACACTTGCAAACCACACTAATTTTTTATATTGTTTACATGTTATTTATTCCAGATCGACTATGTTATTAATTTTAAACATATATATTTAGTAAATGCAATATTATAAAAACAAAATAAATTGATTAATTATTGCTGTGACTATTAACAATTAATTAATCATTAATTTAATAATAAACAGTTAGTTAATAGTTAATTTATGAACTATTAACTAATTTATGAACTATTACTTAATTTATGTTAACTAACTTAATTTATTAATTATTGTTGTACTAATTATTATTGTGTAAATTTGCTAATTTGCTTTATATGAATGAGATTATAATATTGTATTTATTAAACTCATATTTCATTGCTTGAAGCATTGGTGCAAGAGAATTACTTAACTTTACTAATTAGTTTTTAATGAAGCATCAATTATTAATTTTTAATTAGTTTTTAATGTTCGAACTACCTGTACCGCCATTAGGGGCTTAACAGGGCTTAGTGCAGCTATTTAATTAAAGAAATGTTAAAATCTAAATCAAGGCTTAAATCAGGCCCTTAAGCAGCAGAGCAAGCACCATACTACTTGAAATAACTTTAAATAGAATTAACATTTAAAATACTAACTTTAACTCTAGAAGCTGGTGAGATTTACCAGCTACACCAACAAAAAATGCACTATTACATACTTTGTAACACAAAATATACTTACATATATAAAGAAATAAAATATCAGAATAATATAAACATTTTAATTTTTTCTTAAGACAGAGGAAGAAATTTTAAACAAATCAATACATAAATTCATTTTGTTTACAGATACATATTTTACAAAATTTGACATTTCAATTTATTCACTATATTTTTACATAGATCATTTAAAGTATTAAATTTAGCAGTATCTGGAATAAGTCCTAGAACAATATTTTTCATAGAAGAGCGTCTAAATAACAGGTGCTCAAGATCGACATTACTCATGACACAAACACAGTCACAATTTTTAATCGAAAACCTATTATAATAAAGTCGAAAAAGTCCATGTTTAGTTAAGGCTTGGTTAAGATACTTGTTTGTCACTTAGGCATCTATCATCTCTCACTTATAGTTGAGATTAAATTACATGTGAATCTCCCTTTAGAATATGGGTCGTTCCAGCTTGCACCAAACGTATATATATCAAATGTATGTATATATATATATATATATATATATATATCAAATGTATGTGTATATATATATATATATATATACGTATCCCAAACGTTTGGTACTGTCGATTGCATTAAAAAAACGAGGTGCACAACTAGATGTTATATTAGTTTCGTTTCGTATGTGCCTCAGAAATTAAAAAGTGTTATTCTCATTTCTTCAATGCATCATTCGAAATCAGAAGACCTTGAAACTGAGAAACCAGAAATAAAAGCATTTTACAATGTGACTAAAGGAGGTGTAGATGCAGTGGATAAATAAGCGTTCTAAACATTCTACGAGCCGAAGAACAAGACGATGGCCAATGGCCATATTCTTTAGGTTGCCTGATGTAAGCGGAATTAATGCACATGTAATAAATACATCAGTCGTTAAGAGATAGTGCCAAATTTGAGAAAAGAAACGAATTTTTGGCGGAGTTATTATCAGAATTACTGAAACTACATATGAAACGGAAGCTTTAAAAGCCAACTGTGAACCGGAAAATAAAAATGTGCATTCAGAGAATGCTAAGAGTTTGCAGCAGAATCTATTCTAGCTCAGATGTAACTGATATTCCTAAAAAGCGTAAAACATGCTTTTTTTGTCCCTCCTAGACTGAGAAGAAAAACTCCCTATCCATGTTTCAGCTTTAAAAACCCGATATTTAATGAATGTGCCATGAGAATTTGCGAAAATTGTATTGAAAATGCTCAAAATAATGTGCTGCAATTTTTTAATATTCTTTATACACTCTTTTGCAAAACACTCGAAGCACCAAGAAGGACTTTTGCGATCGTGACGAAATTTTGTATGCAAAAACATCTTGATTGAACATGCAAGTGATCAAAGTTTCAAGGCAAATGAACAGGAATTGCGATCATAGCGCGCATTTCCAGTGCACAATTCGCAAAGTATAAAACCAGTAACAGAGGTGTAAAATTTATCTTTTCTTGTTGCTGTCATTGTAATTCCGTAAAGAAGCAACTAAAGATGATATTGCGACAATATCGAAGACCTTACAGGCAACTAAACGACTTCGAACGTGGTCGAACTGTAGGGTTGCGGGAAGCTATGGTGGTCATACCGAGCAGCAGCTCATCACCTGTAGCGTACAGACACTGCTGGGCAAAGATGTTGGCAGCAATGGTTGCTACAAGGAAATTGCCAATGAAATGAAGGCTCTGGAAGGCCAAAGAGCACAAATGCGAGGCAAGATGTAATGATTGTTCTCCAGGCCCGAACCGCCCCAGTGTCGATTATTCAATGCACTACCAGCCATGTTTATACCTCCAGTGGTACCGTCCACCACCTCACGGCGCTTGTCTGATCCCGGGTTAAGCTCACATAGGCCTTTAAGACGTTTGCCTTTGACCCTACAACATCCGCGGAGTCGCCTGGAGTGGTGTCACAGCCGATCATCATGGCTGTCTTCAGACTGGCATCGTACAGTGTTCAGAGATGAATCTCGCTTCACTCTTGAAGCAGATGACCATG